AAGAGATGGGGCAGAAAATGGACTTCACTCGAGGTCAGCAGTGATTGAGGGGAGGTGGGAAATGGAAGGGGCCCTACAATCCACAGGTTCAGAGAGGCTTGTTGGAAAAGGGGGACCCGTGCTGGTGAACACACAAACTTGAAGCTGCCTTATACAGAATCAGACCATTGGTCCATCTAGATCAGTACTGTCCACCGGAGCAGGTCTCCAAGGTCTCAGGTGGAGGTCTTTCACATCACTCACAATATGATTTTTTTTCCAATTTGAAATGCACAGTAATTAAGAAAAGCTTCCAGCCTTTGCTTCCTAGTTCTAGGATGGAACTACAGATTATCTCAGCAAATGTACATTCCTAGTCATGTTTGGTTGTGATAACATGAATGCAGGGAGTAGAGGTTACTTATAGTGGAGAATTAGCAGGCAAGGGCACTTAATACTTTCGCATCCTCTGCTTTTCCTTTCAGATGTCCCCAAGTCAGGCTTACTTCTGGTCTTGCCATCCAGTTGAGGGTTAAAAAAGAAGCTAGTAAAAACCACTGGTGAGGGGGAAACCATTTTCAAATAAGAATAAATGGCTAGCAACCTCCCTTCTGCCAGCTGAGTCTCCCTTCAAGTGCTAGACCCAAAAGGTTTGTTCAGGATGAGTTGCTCTGCCCTAAGAGTGTATTCTTGGGTTTCATTCTCATGGAAGGGATAAACCTATGTCTGGAGCATATCACTTCAGTCTGCAAGTGGAGCTAATATGATTGAAGGATTCTAGAGACACCTCCCCACACCTTCTATTTCCTCAAGGTGAGACCTGGAGTAGTCCTGGAATTACAACTGTTCCCTGGACTACAGAAATCAGCCTTCCTGGAGAAAATGACATTGCTGGAGTGCAGACTCTGTTATTTCACATCCTTGCTGGGCTCCCTCCCCAAACTCCACCCTCCCAGGCATAACCCCCAAATCTCTAGGAATCTCCCAAGCTAGAGTTGGCAGCCATACCCCTTCTCCTCAGTCCCTCCACGCAGAAAACTAGATATCAAGGGAAAGTGTTCTAACCTCCTTGGCATGCTGGGTTTCTGTGTGGAGGGATGTCTTTGTCCAGAGGATTGTTCAACCCAGTGAACCCTTCCCAGCAGTCTAAAGTGTCACAAGACTTAACAGTTTGTTGAGAATCAGAACTGGCAAAATGGCTTCAATTTAAAAATGTCTCGTGTGACTGTTGGCTTTCATCTCTTCTGGCTTGTGTGAAATTAGGTGAAGCAGGAAGGGTACAAGCTTCTATAAAACACATATATCATATGCTCGGGGGTAGCGGCAGGAATAGTCATGCACGCTCATCTAAATATATACAACAGAAGCCCAAGCATAGCAATTTCCATCCAGGTGCTGAAACCTGAGAGCTGGCTTCACTTCTCTTTAGGAACACCCACATCCATGGTTTCCCCAGGGTTTAAGATTCACAATGCATGCAAGCAGTTAAGCTGGTCCTTAATCATAACACAGCAAAGTGACAGTTTCTTTCGAGTCCTGGCAATGGGGCAGAGAATGCAGAACTGGTAGCCCATGAACTCTGCAGGTATGGCATCATTTTGCTGCTGGCATTGAATGTGTCCAGATGGCAGTTTATTACCAGCCACAAAATACAAAGCATTAGTGAACAGGGAAAAATGTCCTCACAGGATGTACAAAGTAACTTTGGCAGCTGGTTCAACCGCTAATGATTTCTTGCTGTGCTATCTAACCCTATCCTGGGGGTGGAGCAAAGAGACAGACAGAGACTCAGACCAGTATGGTTTGTATTGAACAGCCAGTAATAACCATCCATTGAAACCAGGGTTGCTAGCCTGGGTTACCCAGTAGGCTACAGCTGGTAGGCTGCATTCAGTTTGGACCAGATTAAATGACACAAACTGTGTGTAAACTTGACCAAAGATAATTTAGAAGAATTTTTTTCTGGTATAGCATTTCTCACATCATAATAGTCAATAACATAATGACAATTAGGAATAGAATATTTCCCCCAAGTGTGAAGGGGTTGCATTCCTCTTATGCAAAAACCTGGCATTACTGAGTTAGGTTGCCTTGCTTCAGTTCATTGGTTTGGTTATTGCTTGCTTCTCCTTCACAAATAGAAAGTGGAAGATTGCTTTTTTTCCCTTTAGAAGGCCTGAGAAGTGGCAGGAGTTTCAAAATGAATCAGATGTTTACGATTAAAGTATCATAATCCACAGTTTATGGGTTGGATCCAGACTAGCAATTGGCAATTCCCACTGATTCCCCCTTCCTGATGCAGACTCCTCTAGGGCTGCCAGCTCTGGATTGGGAAACACCTGGAGATTTGGGGGGTGGAGCCTGGGAAAGGTAGCATTTGGGAAGGGGAGGGACCTTGGCAGGGTATAATGCCATAGAGTCCACCTTCCAAAGTGGGCATTTTCTCTAGGGAAACTGGTCTTTGTTGTCTGGAGATCAATTGTAATAGTGGGAGATATTCAGGTACCACCTGGAGGTTGGCAACTATAATATGGGTGTTACTGCACATTACACAGGAATTCTCATTTGGAATACTGCAATTCTGGTCACCACATCTCAGAAAGGATATTATAGCACTAGGAAAAGTGCAGAAAAGGGCAACTAGAATGATCAAAGGGTTGGAACACTTTCCCTGTGAAGAAAGGTTAAAGTGCTTGGGGCTTTTTAGCTTGGAGAAACTATGACTGAGCGGTGATATGATAGAGGTTTACAAGATTATGCATGGAATAGAGCCGGTAGAGAAAGAAGTACTTTTCTCCCTTTCTCACAATACAAGAACTCGTGGACACTCAATGAAATTGCTGAGCAGTCAGGTTAGAACAGATAAAAGTACTTCTTCACCCAAAGAGTGATTAACACATGGAATTCACTGCCACAGGAGGTGGTGACAGCTACAAGCATGGACGGTATCAAGAGAGAATTGGATAAACATATGGAGCAGAGGTCCATCAGTGGCTATTAGCCACAAGGAATAGATAGGAACTCTCACTCTGGGGCAAGCGATACTCTGTATTCTTGGTGCTTGGGGGGTGGGCAACAGTGGGAGGGTTCCTAGTGTCCTGGCCCCACTGGTGGACCTCCTGATGGCACCTGGTATTTTTGGCCACTGTGTGACAGAGTGTTGGACTGGATGGGCCATTGGCCTGATCCAACACTGGCTTCTCTTATGTTCTTAAATCACAGGTGGGTGTTACTGCATATTACACAGGAAAGCCCCTCCCCAGACTCTAGACTTCTCTCATGTCATTTCTCAGGGTCCCCTGTCTACCAGGAGCAATGTTTTTTGGAGATCAGTGAGCTGAAGTAGTGGAGTTGCCAACCTGCAGGTAGTAGCTGGAGATCTCCTGGGATTACAACCGATCTCCAAGTGGCAGACATCAGTTCACCTGGAGAAAATGGCCACTTTGGAAGGTGGACTCTATGGCATTATACCCTTCCCCAAACCCCACCCTCCTTAGGCTCAAGCCGCCCACCCCCAAATCTCCAGTTATTTCCCAATCTGAGCTAGCAACCCTACTGAAGTAGAAGAGGGGGGCAGCAGGAAAATTCTGTTTTGCTTATGGAAAATTTAGTATGGATCTCAGTCAAAGCAGACAAGCAAACAATTCTAAATCAATGTTTTCTAATGCCATAACTTATGGATCTTGTGTCATGACATCCCGATGCTTGAAAAATTACATTTGTGTTAAAGGGGATTTTGGTACTTCACGCTCACCCTGCAAACAAACTGCTCCCTCTGTTCTAAACATATTAAATACTTGAATATAGACTTGAGTTCTAACTATCTCAAATGGTTCTGCTTGTGGAATGGGGCTTTCCTACTTCCCCTTTGCTGCTGTTTCTTCCTGTGTTTTCTGAAAAGCCATTGCTCATTGTTAAGGAACCTTCTGGAACAGCCCAGAATGTGGCACAGGAAGTGGGAGCAGGAATACAAAATTTGGGAACCCCCTTAGTGTGAGCAGTGCCTTCTCAGGCATTTTTAAACCTGTGGTTCCAAGCAAATGTGACTATGATAGAGTTGCCAACTTTGGGTTGGAAAATTCCTGGAGATTGGGGGGTGGGGCTTGGAGAGGGCAGGGTTTGGGGAGGGGCAGGAGCACAGTGTGGTATAATGCTATGGAGTCCACCTTCCAAAGCAGCCATTTTCTCCAGGAGAACTGATCTCTGTTTGGAAATTAGTTGTAATTCTGGGAGATGAAGTACCACCTGGAGGTTGGCAACTGTGATGTGGGTGTGACTGCACATTACACAGGAAATCACCTGGCGTGTTGAGAGGTTACTGAAACACAGTCTACCCCCATTCCTTGTACTGCTGTCCCACTTAAAACTGGGTCCTGCAACTCCTTCCAACACCATTTTGTATTCAAAGTGCTTCATATATATCATGGTTAGGCCTAGGTTTATTTTTAACCTTTGATCTTAATATTAACTTTTAGAATTTCAGAATTGTAATTTTTTTAAGAATCCTGTGTATAATTTTAGATGTTATTTCACTCTACAATTTTACTGTTCTTTTACAACTCTCGCCAAGCCTTCTCGCCGATTTCCTCGCAGGGGATCACACTTGGTCTTGAACTACTTGTTATTTACTTGTTTCTCATTGTACTGTTTGCTGGTATGTGACCGTTATAATAATAAACTTTGAAGCTATCATCACAGTAATCCTTACAAGGACTGCTTTCATTAGGCCTGTACTGATGACCTCATATTGTAGACCGAGGTTGACAGAGGGCAGCTTGTCTAAGGCCACCCGCCTCGAATGTTTGTTGCTGAGTGAAAACATAAGGACACAAAGGAACTTCACATTTTTCTCCCATCACAAGTAGCAAAGTAGGAAGGATGCCATTTTGACCACCATGTTAAATTCACCTCTTATAATTTCATCTCTTTAATGCATAAATAGATACACAAAAATTCAGACACACAGTACAATCACATAACATTTAATACATACTCAAGTAACCCTTTAAACTGCTGAGCAATAATACTGATAAAAAACAGAAGCAGAGTTTACCTCTAAAGTGCTGCAACTTCCTGATTTTTTTCTAAAAGGGAAATATGAAAAGTGCAGAATTGAAAACAACATCACATGCTTGTCTGAGTTCTTCCATTGGTGAGATCCAAATCTCCTCAGAGGTGTGGTGGAAAGACAAGGGGCATTCCACGTTAAACTCTTATCTCATGGGATGAATATGATGCAGGTGCCAACGTGTCACCAAGATCTAGGTCTTTTCATCATTGTGCAAGTCTTCCAGGTTTGGATTACCCTTCAGATGCAGAAACAACACATGGAGAATCCTGATTTGTCAAATTAAAGGACTGCTAGTGATGTTCAAACTGACATCTACTTCTTTCACTCTTGAGCGGTAGGAAACATTCCTACAGTTACCTAAAAGTGAAAGAAGATGAGAATTACTGTTGCTTTTTATACGTTTGGCCACATATTTGCATACAATTTTTCAGCTTTTCCCAAAAATGTATTAAACCTTTTCCCCCTACAGAAGCAGCCAGAGTTGAATTGCAGGAAGAGTATAGGATAAAAAAAACGAGAGGGTGTGTGTGTTTAATTTAGCTGGAACAATCCTGGTTATCTGAATCGTGAAGCGAGTGGCATAACACTGTGCTAACAGAGGTTACATTTATGATTTCGGTGGAATCCCCCTCCTTACTGTACCTGCTTCCCCATGCTGCACAGCATCCCATTCTGGGCCCTTGATCCTCAGCAACAGCATTTGGGGGCTGAGGGAAGTAGAGAGCTCCTATGGTTGGGGGAGCCAATAAAAATAGTTTCCATTACCTGCTACATTGATATAACTAAGGATCTAATCCCCTGTTCAAAAATTAACTGTATATACTAATTATGTTACTTATACTGCAATCCTAAGCAAAGTTACACGCATAGGAGTGCAGTGTTACTCTGCTCTGTGGTAACTGGAACAGTTTACTTCTTTTGTCTTACATGGAACGTTAAACCAAACAAAACTGATATATTCTGATCTTAACATATGAGCATTCAGCTTCATATGAACATGTGAGAGTCAAGGTCTGCAAACCCCCTCGAAATGTTCATTCATAGTCACAAATATGTCACATGAGCATGGCAACTGAAATGTGAAGTGTATGATGGGAGAAGCCAGATTTTTGTTGGTGAGTCAGAATTATAGTCACTTGCAAACAGAATATTCAGGGCCAGACCTTAGGACCAATGGCTTCTACTCCAAATGGGCCTCCAACATAATGGGCCTCCAACATCATCCTTCCAAAACATCAGTACAGTTCTAAATCCCCATAACAGGAAACGTATGTTATTCAAGAACTTCCTGTTGGTCTTCTATATGTTGCTGGAATTGACATTTGGTATTGCTCTGAAGCAGCTTTCAGAAACAATCCAAGTTGTGTAGTTTATTTTTCAAACAGAACAATGCTGATCGAGTTAAAGTTAATTATGACAAAATCCAGTTGAAAGCAATGGGACTTAAACAAGTAACAACTTGATTCAGCTGGATGCACCTAACTTCAGTTGTAGCACCATAGTACTGCCCCCCCATTTAGCTGTAAAATCCTGGAGTCCTTCACTAAACACAATCTTATTTCTATTCTAGTTTTATGTTATACTCATTAAAGGCTCTCTGTAGCTTGCTACAGACAAAAAAAATGTTTCATTACAAACCCATAGCCTGCTTTGCTCAAAAAAGTGAACTAAGGCAAATTACAATACAGGGATCTCAAAATATGAAGTATTTTAAATGAATATATTCAGTAAACCAGGCACATAGTCATATCCAACATCAAACTGAATCATTACGAAGAATTGTTATTAGATTTGTATAAAAAAGAAGAAAGGAATGTAAATATAATTTACAGAGGAAAAACTATATAATATAATGTCAGTTAACATCATATTACTCCAAGTAATGTGTTGGGACTCTGTTCTTTTACGTGGGGTGTTGTATTTCCATAAAGATTCCTTTCTTAGCAAAGGGAGTCCTTGGATCCAACCCATTATGTCCTGTTTTCCCCCATCTTGAAATTTAATTATCATTATCAGCAATGTAAAACCTTAACATTTGTCACATAAATCTGATAAACATAATTTAAAAGCCATTGAACACAATAATGCCAATATGTGTGTATGCTTTGGCCTCTTTGAACATTGTATGCATTTTCCCAAGTCATCCATTAAATATTATATATATAGTTCTCATTTCCCTCCTAGCTCTCTTTATAGTTAATTTATTACCTCATTTTAAGCCATTCTTCCTACGTAAGTTACTACTTTCCCAGTTTTTAGCAACTGACATTTTAGCTGCACACAGAAAGTTGCCAGTTAATCTTATATTTCTTCTTTATAACAATAGTTTTAAGTGTTTTAATATGACGTTATAGCACATGAGGATTTTGCAGAATATTAGAGAACTTTTTTGAATAAGAAAGATTTGCATTACCTTCAAAGGACTCAAACAAATAACCTAGGGCCTTTGGGGAAGTACCCTAATATTTGAGTCATCACTGAGAAAGTCTGGTCTGTATCCTGGTAGACTTTACAGAGTGATAAACAGTACTTCCTCTGCAAGACTTAGTGAGTGGGAAATTGATATAGGAAGATACAACAACTTCTAGTAGGAAATATTGTATGAGTAAGACCAGCCTAGGCAATAGAGCCATGTCAGGTATATAAATCATGTGTGAAACATCTTTCATTCAACATGTGAACCAAACCCACCTGACAGAGCTGTTCAAGCGGACAGCTGCTTTAAAAAGTCAGATGATGGTTGGTTGGCAAAGCAGGACAGGAGAGAAGCAAATAAGTTGTTTCTTACCTTGCTGGATGCACAGATTTGTGGATGATTTTCTCCTTAAAACTTTAAAGACAAACACTGCTAGAAAAGATAACACCACCAAACTAATTGGGATAAATGAAATGAGAAGCTTTTTTTGATACTCAGTAGTTGATTCGCCCATATAATCTGTAATCAAGAAAATCCAATTTATTATTTTACACAAAACTTGCCAAATTAAGCCAAAACACCTTGATTTAATCAACTTGGGATAAAAGCCTTGCTGTAGCAGCTGTCCTATATGCTGACAATGAGCTATTGTTAGCAGGAGTGCAATAGGTTGCAGGAAGGCCAATGGTACAGCCAAAACTATGTGCACTGATATTTGGCCCACTTCTGCCAATGCATGGCACCAGCTGATCCCAAGGCTGTGATAAAAATCCTTGTAAACAGTGTTCTTTGTTTACTTGTACCCCTTAATCACTGTTCTGTCCCCATGGCAGAAGCAACTCTAAACACCAGCTTCATTGTGTTACTAATTGGGCTGCCAATGATCAAGACTGATTTCTAGTCTGCAGTACAGTGGCTTTGCACAAATCTCGCTCAGTGATCTCCAACATGGCATCAATGGGCACCCTGCCACCTGCCAATGTGTTTCCGGGTGCCCATTTGTTTCTTCCCCAAAGCAAATAGCTAGTCCTGGCTTTCCTTCATCTTAGTGGAGTAGGAGGTGCTTCAGAAAACCCTCGTAGACATCACCAGTGTTCCCTCTAAGCTGAGTTAGTGTGAGCTAGCTCACAGTTTTTTAGCCTCCGGCTCACAGATTTTTCTCTTTGCTCAGGAAGAATGGCTCCATAGCAAACTAATTTACGCAGTGGCCGAATTGCTTGCTCACAACTTTAATGCCAGTAGCTCACAGAATATTTGCTCACAAGACTCCATAGCTTAGAGGGAACATTGGACATCACCTCTGGGTCTGCAGGGATCACCCATTCAGAAACAGATGGATGCTTGGCTTGGAACCTCTTCCCCATACAAACATACACACACAAACAGCCTTTGGGGATTCGTCCTACCAGCCTCAGTAGCCATTTTATGTAGCGTCCACTACGTATCCTCAAAATGCTTAAAAGCTAAACAGAGTTGGGTCCCCTGTGCTAGTTGTTTGCATGGAAAAGTAACCAGTGTGTGCATGTTTACTGTTTGCGTTCCCTTCAGGGTTTCAGATCCCATACCACAGAAGACCAGGGAAGTATAGCTGTAACACATTTTGAGGTTTTCATTTCTATATGTAGAAGTGGGAATCCCAGTTCTAGAGTTCTGTCTTTGCTAATACATCGCAGCAAGTGAAACAGCAGCATTCTTTTCACTGCTGCTGAGAATTTTTCAGGGAGCTGAAAGTGGCACAAGGGAGCCAGCCGTGCTCATCATGAGACACACAATGGTTGCCCCCCCCCCACCTTCTGCTTCTGTCTCTAATCAAAAGGATTTTGCAACTGTAGGGGGTAATTTGGTATAAAATAATGGAGTATGATGCTGCACTTAATCCTGCATAAACGGTAAGATAATGGTGCCCTTAGAATCCATCTGCAACGCTCAAAATGCGACATGTAACTATGCAGACATAATTGGTGTTACATGTTCTGACTGCCTTGTCTTTGTTTTGCAGAGTTACAAAGACTCGGGTATGGATCAGTAAAAACAACAAGGAAGGCTGAAGGAGATAAACTGAGAACAGAACTGGTGATGATTAGCCATAAAAGTTGACAAGGAGGGATCCACATGGATCACAGAAACCTTGCTTAATGTCATGTCCAGTTCTAAGTGTTGATGAAACACTGTTTACTCGTTTCAAAAGTGTTGCTTACAAACATGTTTTGACACGAGGAGTAGAATCTTATAGAAAGAAATGTGATTCCCTTGAATCCGAAATCTAAAACTAAATCCCTGCTGAGGGTCTAAGGCTGCAAAAAGGTTTCTTTTGTCAACCTGAGGGACTGAGGCAAAATGACTGCTGAGCTTGGCCTGGGCCATCACTTATCATGACTGCCTTGCCAACCTCCAGGTGGTGGCTGAGGATGGCCCGCTATTACAGCTGATCTCCCAGTGACAGTGTGCAGTTCACCTCAAGAAAATGGCCACTTATGGCATGAAGTCCCTCCCCAAACCCTGCCCTCCTCAGGCTTCACCCCCCAAAAAATCTCCAAGTATTTCCCAACTCAGAGCTGGCAACCCTATTTACAAGGCAGAATAAGATTATCACCCACCTTCTGTGCTTTTCCTTAGAATGTCTCTGAGCATTCTGTCATATAAAATCAATTCAGTCGCTCACTGATAGAGGCATCGAATGTTCAGTATCCCTTAGCAAATTACAGTGCAAATATGAATAGCCCCGAACGTATGCATGTCAGACCCCTGCATAAGCAAATGCAAATGATTATGTGAAATCACAGCTGAATTTTTACCTAACTGAAACGCTGATACGTATTCTGACGTTTTTTCATTCAGTTTTTTATTCCAGAACACACAGGTGTAGTTTTCACTAATGCTTTGCTTGACTTGCAGGACGCTGGTTACATTGAACAGTCCTTCATCAGTCAGTTCAAAAGTAGTGTTTGCAACCATGCTGACATTAGGTTTCCTTCCATCGTGCCAGGATACCTCAGCCAGGGGATACCCTTCTGACTGACAAATTAAAATCAGGCCCTCTTCCTCAGGATCTTTCATTTTCTGGATGTTTATTCTTTTGTACGAAGCTGCAGAAGAAGTAGAGCACAAGAATGATTTAAGATGTGTCTGCACTATTTTGGAGACACAGTTTCATTTTACCTTCCTTGGGTTTGATTTACACTAACATTATATGATGAAACTTTCTTGTGGTCTCTTGAATGATTTGATATTTACCCACGACTCTGGATCTCTTGGCTTAAGGGTATTCTAGGGGATGGAAGGACTCATAGCTGAATGGTAGAGTTTTGCATAGCCAACAGTCTGCTTCAGTACAAGGTGACTCTATATGTTCATCAACATATGACATGGTAAGTAAACGAGCTCACAGCATGAGGTAGAGCTTTAAAAAGACAAGTTGCTAGGCAAAAAAGGCCTATTCTTGAGAATACTCAAGATTAAACTGCACAAAAAATCTCCCTGAGCCTGCCTTTTTTTTAAAGCACCAAGGTATTTTAAGAGCATTTCTCATGGTTCCTTTTTAATATCTCCTAGGATAAAGAATAATATATGTGGCCTGAAATGTGGGAGGGGGGCAACTCTGACCTTAATTTAAAGCACACCAGCCTCTGTTCTCAAGTGAAGCTTTCATTACTTCAGTGCTGCAAGTAGGCATAGTTAATAATCAGAATCTTCACTTAGTTTGGCAATGTGGCTGTCTACTCGGTAGAGGAGGGGATAGGACTGCCAAGTGGGGGTGGGGGGCCGGGTAAACCCCAGCTTCGGAGGCCCGATTTCCGCCGCCGCGGAATCGGGCCCCAGGGGGAACTCCGCCCCCCGAAGCGCAGCATGGCTGCATCACCAGAGGTGACACAACCATGTCAATCACGTTGGGGGCATGGCCCCGATTGTCGGAGGGAAAACTCTATGGTTTTCCCTCCGATGATCGGGGCCACGCCTTCAACATGATCGACGTCGCACGTCACTTCCGGTGACGTGCGCGCGCACATCGAAGAACGGCTCCCGGAGCCCGGCGAGGCTCCCCGCCGGTAAGAAAATTTGACTTGGCACCCTAGGAGGGGACCATGGTGGGATAAGTATGGACTATGCCATTTGCCTGACTCAAAGTATGAGACAGATTAAGGTGGGTAGCTGTGTTAGTCTGTCTAGCAGTAGAAGAGAGTTAGAGTCCAGCAGCACCTTAAAGGCTAACAAAATTTGTGGCAGGGTATGAGCTTTTGTGAGTCACTGCTCACTTCAGATACAGCTAGAATGTGAGTCCATCTGTCATTATATATTGGAAAGTGGAGTGATTTCAGATGCCAAATGATATTAGCTGGCAAATGACAACAGAAGGTGTGATTGGATTAGGTGTGATACGCAGAGAGGTAGTAGGCGTGGAGAAATCAGCACTGGTAATGAGACAGGAAACCCAGGTCTCAACTCAGTCCAGGTGGATGCATTGTCTTGAGCTTCATTATCAGTTGCAGTTCAGCAGTCTCTCTTTCTAATCTCCCTTTGAAATTCCTTTGTAAGAGAACTGCTACTTTTAGGTCAGGAACTAAATGTCCTGGAGGGTTAAAATGTCCCCCCACTGGTTTTTGAATGTTGTGGTTTCTGATGTCGAAGGGACTGGCCTGTTTGTCCAATGTAGAGAGTGGAAGGGCATTGCTGACACATGATCACATTAGAGGTGTGAGGCAATTGTATGCATTTATTTATTTTCTATCCTGCCCACCCCACAAGCGGGCTCAGGGCAGGTCACACCATACCAACTACTAACAAAGATCAATCAACCTTAAAAACTCTAAAAACAACCATTCCCAATTCCCGTTAATAAACAAGAAGGCATTCCAAAAATTTACGGTGTCCTGGGCCTGTATGGGTTCTCAGAGTGGTAAATTCGCTGCCATCAAGATCAAGGGCAGCTTGAGCAGGAGGGGCCAAATTGGTTGGATGTCCACCACCTCAACCAAAGGCCTGGCGGAACAGCTTCGTTTTACAGGCCCTGTGGAACTGCAATAGATTCCTCAGGGCCCTAATCTCTATTAGGAGCTTGTTTCACCAGGTTGGGGCCAGGGATTATCAATAGATGTTGATCTACTGAGTGCAAGGGTGTTCAGGGAACATATGGGGGGAGGCAGTCCCACAGGTGTGTTGGTCCCTGGCCACGTAGGTCATAAAGGTTAACACCAACACCTTGGAGTGGATTTGGAACTCTATCAGCAGCCAGTGCAATTGGTGTAGCACTGGCTGAATGTATGCCCACAGAGATATCACAGTCAGTAAGCGTGCTACTACATTTTGCACTAGCTGCAACTTTCAAGTCAGGTACAAGGGTAGCCCCGCACAGAGCAAATTAAATAGTCTAACCTGGAAGTGACCATTGTGTGGATCACCATAGCCAAGTCACAGGAGGAAAGATAGGGAGCCAGTTGCCAAACCTGTTGAAGATGGTTTGGCAACTACAGTGACCTGGGCTTCCATTGATAATGAGGCATCCAGTATCAGTCCTAGGCTCCTTACTCTTGGCGCTGGCGTCAATGGTGCCCCACCCACAGCTGAGAGCCGAATTCCCATATCTAATCCCCTGCAGCTCAGGTACAGAACTTCTGTCTTTGATGGATTTAACTTCAACCAGCTCTGCTGCAACCAGCCAGCCACAGCACTCAAGGCCCAGTCCAAAACATCTGGAGCCAAGTCCGGCCATCCATCCATTAACAGATATAGCTGGGTATCATCGCATATTGATGACACCCTAGCCTGAACCTCCAGATTAGCAGGGTGAGGGGTGCATATAGATGTCAAACAACATCGGGGAAAGGATCACCCCCTGGGAATGCCACAACCCAATGGGTATCATGGAGAAATCCTTTGCCCAAGTGCCATCCTCCTGGAGAAAGGAGAAGAGCCATTGCAGGGCAGTCCCCCTCATTGGCAAGGCAGTGGGTCAAAAGATCATGGTCGACCATGTTGAATGCTGCTGTTAGGTTGAGAAGCAGCAGCAGCACCAACCCACCTCAAACCAGGTGCCTCCAAAGGTCATCTGTAAGGTTGACCAGCACAGTCTCAGTCCCTTGGCCAGGGCGAAAGCCATACTGGAAGGGATCCATGATGGAGGTGTCATCCAAGAAAGCTTGCAGCTGTTTGACTGTTGCTCTCTCAACTACCTTGCCCAGGAACATAAGGCTCGACACTGGGCACTGGTTGGCCAGGACCATAGCATCCAAACATGTTTTCTTTTGGAGTGACCACACCACTGCTTTCTTCGCCCCGCCCCCCCGGAAAACCCCTGATGTCAGGGATAGGTTTACAATCTCATGCAGGGGTTTACAATCTCACCTTCTCTCTGCAGAGCACTCTGGAATCAATTTGGATGCATAAACACCCATGGGTGAGCATAAATCAGCTTGCCACTTAAACAGGGAATGTTTGGGAAGCTCATCCAGGCCTTAAGAGGGAAGTGGTCTGACCATGACACCACATAAATATCTATCAGATCCACATTTATCCCCATCCCCAAAATAAGATCCAGCATGTGACCTGCTTGATGTGTAGCAGATAGAAATTGGGAGAGTCCCAGTGCTGCCATGGATGACACTAGGTCCTGGCCTGAGAAAAGGCTGCCCCATTGGCATGGACATTGAAGTCCCCCAAGACTAACAGCTTATGGTATTCTAACGCCCAACCAGAGACAGCCTCCAACAGGCCCAGCAGGGTATCTGCTGGTGTGTTAAGCAGTTGGTACACCAGCCAGATAACCAAACTCTCCTCAGCTTCCCACACTGGGCTCATACATTCAGTGTCAGCAATTTGGGGGGCAGGGAGTGCCCTGAAGGAGAAAGGCTTTCAGATAAGTATCGCCCGCCCCCCGTGGTCCGGGACTGGTGAAGGACTGAGAAACCATGGGAAGCAAGCTAGTTCAAGGTGACAGTTTTGCCATCCCTCACCCAGGTCTCAGTCATGCAAGCCATGTCTATATTTTGTTCTGCAAGATAATCCCACAGAACAGAGGTCTTATTGTTTAAGACCTGGCATTGCACACATCTCTCAGGATGGGACTAAGGCAAGAAGGGGATGGAGCATTGTAGGCTTCCCATATCACATCATACTGGGTTTTCCACAACACATCTGAGTCACTGAACTGAAATAAAGAAAAACACGTGTGCGTGTTCCCCACAATATATGAGAAGTTAGTCCAAGTTCTTGAGGGTCAATGGGTTTGATGTTATGAGCGGGAAGCTGATTTCATGCTACTCTTGTGACTCATGCTTTCTTTTATGCAAAGTGGAGAAATGGCCCTTTCCAAGATTTGCCATGACACAGGCATTGTTAGGAAATACTGGATCCCCAAGGGGTATTTCAAATATCTTGTGAGTCACACCAATTTACCAGTATTAGATTGATCCATTTTGCTTAGTCTGGCAGAGAAATGCCAGGTCATCTGAAAAGCAACAGTTCTAGAATTTAAGCTGAAGAGCTCGTGGGATGCTTGAGCTGATGCTATTTCTGGAAATTGCACTGCCTCCCTGGATGCTTGTTTCTTCACCCTATAAATTATATAATCTGTTCATTTGTAAAAGAGCTATTTTATAATAATTTGTTTCCTTACAAATGAACACAATATATACATGATAAGACTTAACTTCCAGTATTCTTTCTTCTAAATGAATCTAATACTGCAAATAGGGTTGCCAAGTCCTGCCTGTCGCTGCAGTGGGGGACTCCCGGCTCACTCCTGGAGTGTGTGTGCGTGCGCAAAGTGTGCGCGCGCGCCACAACCACGTTACCCAGAAGTGACGCGACCACACCAGGCACACTGGAGGCGGGGCCACGACCATCCGAGGGAAAACCATATAGTTTTCCCTCGGATGACCGTGGCCCCACCCCCAGCGTGCCTGGCGTGGTCGCATCCCTTCCAGGTGACGTGCACGTTGCGTACTTTGGGGGTGGGGTTCCCCCCGGGGCCCGATCTGCCGGCGGCGGGGAAAGGGCCTCTGGGGTGAGGGTTTTCCCGCCCCCCGGGGGGACTTGGCAAGCCTAACTGCAAAGGATGCCCCAAATGACTTACTTTTCAGGGAACAGGGAGTAAACAATATTTTTTTTCTCATGGTATGCAGCCACCAACCTTTTACTTCCAAAGTAATGTATTTGTAATCAGCCTCTCCATAGTTAATGACACAGAGGAAAGAGCCTGCATCTGTGATCTTTACACTGGTGATACTGAGTGCTGAAAACCCCATTGGTAATTCTTCGTGCAGTAGGGTGGCTCTCCCTCTGTAGTCTGGATCTTGCAGTGTGAGGTCTTCCTGCCCCTTGTGGAGCTTGTAGATTTCTTTTTCTTCTTGTTTTGATGATATTCTTTTCCACAAGATGCTTAACATTTTAAAATTTAACTGGGAATCGACTGGAAAACGGCATCTCAATATCACATTGCTACCGTGCTCCACAGAATACCGAGGCTGAAGAACTTCCACTGTGAATAAAGCTAGGGCACAAACGCACAGCATTATTATCCATAAAGCAAAATATTACTATAGAAGACAGGCAACTGCAAGGACTTGTGGTGAGCATCTCATTTTCCCTTCCCCCACTATTTTCTCTTTCACTTCTCTGAAAGCCTCCATAGCCTTTCTCCTTTTCCTGGTTTAGCCACTCCTCTTTTCCTGCCTCCTCTCTTTCCCACACACAAGACAACCTACCTATCTGTCTCTATCTTCAGCTTTCCCTCCTTCCCTCCCCCTTGCAGCCTCTACCCAAGAAAACTATGGCTTATTGGACACCAAGCTCAGTTTTGCAGTGGGGAACCAGCAAGGACTTGCAGGGAGCACCTCACTTTCCCACTCCCACACTATTTCCTTTTTTTTTCCTTCCTGTTTCCAATACCCATTTATTTATTTATTTATTTATTCATCCCACACTATTTCCTTTTTTTTTTCCTTCCTGTTTCCAATACCCATTTATTTATTTATTTATTTATTCATTCATTCATTCATTCATTCATTCATTCATTCAACTTTTATCCCGCCCTTCCACCGAAGCGGCTCAGGGCGGCTCACAGCATTAATAAAACCAACATAGATAAAACACTAGTCCATAAAACAACTTACATAAATACAATTATACACCTTTCCTTGCTTCTTTCTCTCCTTCCCACCCCATCAACCAACCTACCTCTTTTTATCTGTTCCCCATCTTTGGCTATATTAATGTATATATATACTTCATGTGTACGCCACTGTTTTCTGCAATGGGAACCCAAAGCAGCCTACATCATTCTCCTCTCCTCCATTTTATCCTCACAATTGTGTGAGTTAGGGTTAGGCTGAGAAAGTGTGGCTAGCCCAAAGTCACCAAATGAGCTTCACTGGCAGATTGGGGGATTTGAACCTGGATCTCCCAGATCCTGAGATGAAACTTTAACCACTATATCACACTGGCTTTTGTGGGGTGAATGCTGTTGCACAGAAGTGAGCGGCCAGGCCTGGGTGAATCATGCAAGTCATGTGGTATCAAGTTGAACAGTGATTGGTGTTGGGTCTAATCCCCGTGGTCTTCTCTCAAAGGCTAAAACAGCCCTGGAAAGGGCCCTGTCCCCTCCCCTTGCCTTTTGCTAACAGAAACCAAGGCTTCAACTGGCAATGTTGTTGTGGTTGCCTAGCAAGTGCCATAGAGGGCATTTGCTTCTTGAAGTTACAGGTGCTGCTTCTATTATATTGAGGGATTTCAAATTCTTCTGCGACCCTAAGGCTCTTCTCAGGTTTGTAGAAAATTTGTCTTGTCTATCTATGGCTCCAAATTCAAGATTTAAGTATTCATAGATTTGGCCACTTTCATAATGATACATATTGATGATGGTGAACGGGGAGGTAGACTGAGGGTCTCCACTGTCTGATATTTATAGTTACCATGTGGATTTCAACTCTAAGTCTACTTTTTAAAGGAAAACTTCTATGGAGTTCTTTATAGTCAAAGGGCTCTTTCCTATATTCCTCAGCAGCATAGCATTGTTGTAGCTTGGTGGTTTCCTATACTTCTCCAATAGTGTAGGGAACTCAAGGTGATGTGAGAGGAATCAAACCTTTCAAACTTCCTGGAGGGACAATGACATGGTAACTGCGTTGCCATAATGGCATGAAAAAGAATCGTATGACAGCAGCATAAGAATCAGCTGTTTAAGGGGATTCTTTGGCAAATGGTGACAGACTGCTTACCAATACCTTATTTTTCAATACAATTGTCGTATGATTGATGTCTCAGATGCAGAGTTCCTATAAGACCAATTTTCATGCATATTCAAGGAGGTTCATCAAACACACTTCAAGAAAGATCATGGAATAGTGACGTCTCTTGTTTTCTTGGTTTGCTTGTTTGTTTTGATAACTGAATATGCTCACTATTCATTCACCCTTCAGGCTGTTCATATTAGGAAACTAAAGAACTCCACAGAAAAAGTTTTCTCTGTTTAAAAGCAGACTGTAAAGGAGTGGGGTTTTTAAACAACAATAATTTCTGACTGGGAGAGTATTAAAAGGAAGTTCAGGTGACAGCAGTTACAAAAAGGTTGCTTTTCAAAGCCCTAGTGTGTGTCAGCAGATGTTACTCTGAAACTCCCTGTTCTGGCATTGATGCCTGTTTCTCCCCTGGGTTAGACTTGAGCCAAGATGGAGCAAAAAAACTCTGACCTGAAGAGGATGAAAAGGGAGAGACAGAAGGGAATAAAGGAACAACTCCTAAATAAATTATGCTAAAGAACAGGAAATCCCAGGGAGAAGCTTGAGGAACTATGACCCAATGCTTTGCCCAGAAGACAAGCACTGACAAGTGATCAGACCACAATTAGTAACTTTCAGTAATTATATTAGTTTGCCATGGGCCACAAAACAGTCTTCCCTATTGCTCTAAGCATAGACATACTGAAAACATCACCTACAACTAAGCGCAATTTGGATTTGCCCAAGGAATCTGCCACTTTCTGTCCTGTTTTGTCCATCTTCTGTGATTTATGGGCCTAATGTGCTCCAGGTTTGAGACAGTCTGGATTAATTACACTTGTCCTGCTGTTTCCAAGCCCAGCAAGGACAGAATCCTTCCCCAAAGCATGCTTGTGTCTGGCACCCAGTATATGGTCCTACTTTCCCCTCTTGGATTTACAAGCTACCCAGACACCTGGATCTTCAACACAGGTTTTAGATCAGGGTGTCAAGCATGTGGCCCAGGGGCTGGATCAGGCCCCCAGAGGGCTTCTATCATGCCCAGAGTGGAACTGGCTGTCTTCTGCATCTTCCAGTTCTGCTGCTGCTGCGTCATCGTAGGTTTGCAGCTTACAGATACACACCCGAACAGCATACTCAAGATTGCAACAGCACAGACATTTTGATGCAATAATTGAGAGCAAGAGATGTCAGTTATCAGACACTGTTAAATAAACAAAATATTGCAAGAGTGCTAATATTTTTAAGCATGTTTTTATTTTAAGTAAAAAAAACCCACCATTTGTGTTTGTGTCCTTTATAAAGTTTATATCTCCGCTACCTGGCATTACATTTTATGACACACATGGCCCGGCCCAACAAGGTCTCATTTATGTCAGATCCAGCCCTCATAACAAATGAGTTTGACACCCTTGTTTTAGATTATCCTCTGGTAGCTATTCTCTTCCACACTGACCTTTAGCTCCATGAACCCCCACCAAAAAAACCTAAAGTGGTCTTTGTTTTGCTTTTTGTTTCCACATGAAATCAACCTACAATCACCTACCTTCTAGGTTTTCCCGTGTCAAGAGTGATTTTTCCCAAACATACTTTGGTACAATCAGGGGTCATTTCGTAGAAAAAGAGGTGCAGGAGCTCATTAGCATAACTCATTAGCATAACTTATTTGAATATGTCACACACCCTGACATCATCGGAAGTGTGTCAGAAGGCATCACCCACCGCTCAGGCTCCACTGGACTGTTTTGGATTGCGGGGGGGGGGATGTGTGTGCAGATCTGTCCTCGCAGAGGAGGGAGACCTTGTACCTGAATAAAACTTGATCTTAAAGGGGCCACTG